GTCCAGGCACAGCAAAGTTTCATCTCTCTCACATGACACATCCAATGTCATCCCCTGGGGGCTCTGATGGTCACTCAGAGGCTCCGGCTGACTGAGGCTCCATCTCTACTTGTACTGTCATGGTCGCAGTGGCAGCGGGAGGGGCACACGGTGGCTCTGCAGCTCCACTGGGTAGTGATACCTGTAACTTCCATTCACTTTTCTTTGGCCAAAGCAAGTCACCGGTGTCTGGAAGCAGCTCTGAGTGTTACCCCTTTTCTTAATCACCCTGCATCCACGGACCCCCACCCTGCTCTACTGCTCCACTCCCTACCCTACGCTGTACTGTGTTTACTTGTTTGTTGTTTGCCACTCTCCCTAGCGTCTAAGCCCCATGAGGGCAGGTTTGTCTGGTTTTGTTTGCTGCTGGACCTGCAGCACTGCCTGGTGTACAGAAGGCACTCAGATTTTATTCAAACAGATTGATAGTAATACGAATAGTTGATATCTAAGGTGCTTACCACGTGCCCGACGCTGCTCATGCACAGACTCGCTGGCTCTCATTTCGGTCCTAAGAGGGTGTAGGTCTATTATGACTGCTGTTTTCCATACAAGGAAACTGAAGCTCAGAGGAGTTGAGACCCTTGCCCAAGGTCACACAGCCATTTCGTGGGCAGAACCAGCCCGCTGACCCCTGAAAGTTCCTGCTGGGCCCAGCCATTTATGACCGGGGGCAGAATCACAACATCCAGGCCCAACAATTGAGTGTCCATCACGCGTGGGGACGGGGCCTGGGAGCATGTACAGAAGATAAAATAACAATGGCAAAAAGCTATAAAAGTATCACCGATTATTGTATGCCACATACTGTGGTAAGGGGGGCATATCCTATTTCACGCTCACAAAAGTTGCAGGAGCAAGTGTTGGAATCCCCACCAAGCAGTGGTAGAACTTTCCAGGGCACTGCTCGTCCTGAAGGAGTGCTGGGACTTTGGTTCCAGCCATCCAGATGTGGAGGCTGGAGACCTAATGCACCGCGGTCCTGCCTCCCAGCTGACCTGTACACCCGGGGCACCAAGAAAGATGTGTTTATTTCCATCAGAGCTGCGCCTGCGGCCTTCGGCAATCATCTGGACCAGCTTTCCTCATCAGACTTTCTGCAGCCCCGTGACAGAAATATAAAGCAGGACGTTGCCTCAGTGTTTTGCAGGGGCAGTTCTATCTTTCTAGCCCAGAAAAGCAGAGTCATTTTCATGTTTTCTTCCCACGCATGCTTGCATATCTGCCTGTATCTCTGCGTAAGCTCCCCTCGGGTGTCGTCTCTCACTCCCCACCCCGGCCTTACCCTCTCTCATGCCACAGGCCACGTGGTTGCAGTCATCATATGGGTTAAGTACGTATGTGCAGCGTTTCAGTCCCAGCCCCACCACTTACAGCTCTGCAACTCAGAGCAAGGGGCTTGGCCTCTCCCTGCGCCTCAGTTTGCTCATCTGTCACATGGGGATAAGCATCATGCCGAGCTCAGAGAGTTGTGAGGATAAAATGCGCTCCCAGGATTCAGACACATACAGTAAGTGCTCAGTAAATGGCAGCCATCGTTACATCTCAGGCCTGGTGGGGCATCAAGTGTCTCTGCTGAAACATTCGGTGTCTGTAGAAAGCAGCAGTGCTCTTCATTGCCTCACTGTTGGGAAATGCAAAAAACCTTGCAGTCACCCAAGTATTCTCTAATGCAAGTTTGACTCAATGTTTTCCTTATATACAGTGGAAAACTCTACAAGCTGATACCAGGAACAAACTGTGTACTTCCTGGGTTCATTGGGGTGAAAAGGCTGGTTGTGACACACGGTCCTACTTTAGTAGACTGTATTTTGGGAGACTGCACCTTCTGTATTGTGTATGTCTGAAATGATTGCATTGTTTGGTAAGGCAGGGATTTTTTTTGTCACTAGGAAAAAGGGAAAGAGACATGAGTCTCACACAATGAAAGTCAGCAAGGATCTTTGTATTTCTGTGACTTTGTTTCCCTCCTTCCCCAACCTGGCTTCAGAGAGTTTGGCGTTCTTAAAGCAGAAATCCTTATTCCTGGTGTATTTTGGCACTCTTGATTTGCGGCTGGATCTAAGTAGAGGAAATGGGTCTTGTAGGTTTGATGACGGTCTCACTGTAAGGGCATCGCTAATTTCTCTTCACTCACCCTGTGCCGGTGCCCAGCCTCCCCCGTCTTTAAACAAAGTTTGGGGCCACCTTACTTTGTGGCTTTAGTGGGATTTGTCCTCTCACCCCTGCTGTGGCAGGAGCCACAGGTGAGGCCCTGTCCTCTCTCCTCTTGTCTCTTTTAAGTGCCTTGAAAACCGTGCCCATGTGCTTTATTAGTCCTAAGTGTGGAGGCGGTGCTGGGGGCTGGACAACCTTGAACTAAGCCGTCCTGGTACCGCTCGGCCTCCCTGTATGGTCCTGTCACTCAGGAGCATTGCCAGTCCAGCTTTCCTATCAAGCAAGTGGATTTCATTAAGAAACACTACCAGCAATGCAGACCTTCTCAGTTAACTCATTAGCATGTTGTCTAGACAAGGTAAATTCTGGAAAGAAAATAGCAGGGAGGCAGGCAGAGGGGAGCAGTCACCAAATCTGTGGTTGGGGAACCTCTCAGGTGATTGTCCCACAATCACAGGGACGGTGACCAATGTTTTCTCTTTCTACCACATTTGATGGGGAATTGATGTGACGTCTCTTTCAAGAGATTGGTTCGAGGCTCAGCAGTCAGGACTAGGAGCAAGAGAGCCTCCTTGAGAGCAGCCCCACTGCCCAGCTGCAGGCACAGCTCACCTTGGTTTTTGTCGTGGCTAATGGCATATGGTCTGTGGCCAGAATTCCTGGGTTCACACTTGAGTTCTACCAGTTACTAGCTGTGTGACCTTGGGCAAATTATCGATCTCTCTGGGTCTCACTTTCTCTATCTTTAAGATAGGGATGGCACAGTACTTTCCTCATAGGTTGTTAGGAGGATTAAATGAATTAATACATGTAAATTGCTTAGAATGGGGCCTAGCACATAGTAAGTGCTCAGTAAAAATGAATCATCATTGTTACCACCACTATTATAACTATTACTATTATTATTAGTATCATCTTTCAGTTGTAATGAAAATGTAGATCAGTATAAGCATGTGCTCAAAACTCTGGTCTCATCTTTTCTGTGTCCATTTTCATCAGTTTGATCTTGGCTCGTCTTCTCGGCTGAAAGTTCTATTCTGGGTCCCTTCAAGATCCTAGAATTTGTCAACTGTAACATCAGCCTTGCCCCTCTAGAATTTGTGAATCCCACCCATTTATTTTGCTCCAGCCATGGCCTGCAGTCTCCCACACCATGCTTTTTCATCCTCATGCAGAATGCCACCTTCCTCCTCTGGTTGGTGTTGTCCGTTCTTGGGGACAGTCTCCACTATGAGCCTTCCTTATCCCCCTGCCCGCCCTGTCTCTTGCTGCTCCTCATTCCTCCAGCTCCCAGTTCATCACCATTCCTGTGGGTACTCACCTGGAATCCCCTCCAGAGACCCAGCCACCTACTCAGTCTCTGACCTGTAAGTGGGGCATTGAATCAGCTCACCTGTAAGGTCCTTTTCACTCCAGTGTGGGTTTTTGGAATATAACTAAGAAAATATTGATGAGGCCTTTACGGAGAAAAATTACAAAACATTATTTAAGGTCATGAAAGAAGACCAGAATAAATGGACAGGTGTGACATGTTTGTGGATGCAAGACTCAATATTATAAAAATAAAACTGTCCAAGTTAACTGAGGTCCAATGAAATGCCAGTTAATATTTTTGGATTTTGCCATCTCAGTGGAGCTTAACACATTGATTCTAAAACTTGTATGGAGAAACAAAGGGCAAGAATAATTTAGATAAATTGGAAGAAGTTGGGGCCGTTGACCTTACCAGACATCACGACTTGTTATAAAGCTCTAGTCATTGAGAGAGGCTGATAGTGAAACAGTGATGGATAAACAGAGTGAAACAGAGTGGAAACGTGCTCCATGACTCAGGTGACCTTGAAAATGAGGGGAAAGGATGGGCTACTAAAAAAAAAAATAGTGCTATGACAACCATTTTTTCCATGTTAAAAATTTTAAAAATTTCTACTGAGTTTCATACTCAAAATTCAATTCAAGTTGGATTAAAGACCTACGTATGAAAAGCAAAACTTTAAAAATGAAAACATAGGCGAATATGACTTCGGATGGGGAAGGATTTCTTAAATACTCTAGGTGGGAAAAGTAAGGGAGCCTAGCAGCTGGGCTGTGGGTCTGGAGTCACCCGAGCTCTGCTACCTGCCAGCAGTGTGACGTCAGGCAGGCTGCTTCATCTTCTGTGCCTCTGTTTACTCCTTGTAAAGAATGGGTAAGCATTTGAGAAGACACAGTCAACTGTCTTCCTCCCCAAATTCCTTTCCTCACTGGCAAAGCCCAGCTCCCACGGTGGGAGATGAACACTCTGGCTCATTCCTTGCCAGTGAACCATGGGGCTAAGTGCAGGGCTGTGCCCCAGTCCTGGCAGATGACACCCGAGGGCCTGTGTGCCACCGGCTTAAGGGAAAGGCTTCCCTCCCTGATAAAGAGAGACGGACGAAACAGACATCATTTGTCAGGGTGTTGTCCCATCTGCGTGTGACACCTGGAGCTATAGCAGTGTGTCATGACCACGAGGGGGCAACCGGTCTGCAGTCGATGGGGCCCAAGAAGATGGAGAGAGCCTGGGTCCTCAAAGAGTCCACGGGGGCACCGGCCCCAGCTGGGACAGCCATGCCCACGGACGTCGCGTGCTGAGAGAAAATCCACTTTCCTCCTTGTGCAAGCCTCTTTCAGTTGGCTGAGCTGCGACCTGCTGTGACCTACTGTCAGCCGTATTCTGACCGATGCAACAACAGTCCCTAGGCCATAGGCTTGCTGTGAAGATTAAGTGGGGAAACGACGTGTAAAGCATTTAGCACAGCCCGCGGTGCCTGAGAGCGTGGGACAGACGGCAGCCCTGCAGCAGCAGGAAAGCCAGCGGGGCCTGGGGCCGCTGGCCGAGCACCGACCGCGCTTAAGGCGCTGGTGCGTGTCCTGTGTGCACTGTCTCACTGAGTCCTCGTCAGGGTCATTTGGGGCCGGTGCTGTTACTCTGTTCATTTTACAGATCAGGAAACTGAGGCTCAGAGAGGTTTAGGAACTTGCCACAGGGCTCCCAGCAGGGAAGTGGTGGAACTGGGACTCGAATCCAGGCCCGTGTCCCAAACTCCAGAGCTTGTCCACAGTGCTGAAGAGTCTCCTGGGACAGGAGTCCTGCCGTTTCCCGTCCCAGGTAGAAGCACTTTTGTGTGATCAGCAAACCCTGCAGAGAGAAGTGTCCCTCCGCTCCTGGAGATCCCGGCTCAGGGCCTCCAGTCAAGCCTCTTCTCCTCCCTGGGTTATGGCTGATCCTCACGTGCTCCCTGGAGAGGCAAGGAAGAGCCAAGAACGCCTGGCTCAAATGCCTCCCTAATAGAATTAGAATGTTCTTGTCAAGATGGATTCTTTTGGGGTGGGCCAAGCAAGTCACATACTCAGCTGCCAGAGGCAAAGGACAAACATTATGTGTCATCACAGCTGACACTTGGTCTGCAGGGCTGGGCAGGCGAAGAGGGGCCTGTTATTTGCGCTCCAAATCTAACTTTGCTGGGGAAGTTTGGATCATTTTTGATTACTTTGGGCTTTCCCCCCACTTTTCTGTCATTTCTCCCCTTCTTCTGAGGCCACTCTCAGTGTCAGCTTGCAAGAGACCCATCTCCGGGAAGTGGAGTGGCAGAGTTGGTGGCCTCTATCCTCTTTGGGGGTCTGATGGCCCATGAGGGGGAGAGCGAGGTGCTGATCTGAGGGAGGGGACCCCTGGTGTCTTCTTTGACCATCTTACCATCACCAGCTCCCACAGATGATGGGGAACCCTGGGTCAGAAACTGCTGCTTCTGTTGGCTTTAAATTCCATCCCTGGCTCTCTTCCTGGATTTCCTTGGCCACCTTCAACCTGGACACTGCGCAGTGGCTTCCCTCCAGAACACTAGGACTGGATTAATGATGTCACCACTGAGCTCCCGGGGGCTTCAAAGAAGGGAGAGAGGCTGGGAGGCAGCAGCTGAGTCCCGTCAGCCCTCAGGACACTGCTCATGTGCCCATGACTCAGTGTCAGGGGATAATTGCACATGGATCTGAGTGCTCTTTCTTCTTGTCCAGTTACCTGCCATCTAAAGTACCCACCCCGTTTTGCATGATTTGAGGTAATGCGTGTAACACACTTAGAAAGATGCCCTGTGCCGGATACAGTCTCAACAAAGGCAGCTGTCCCTAATCCCTACAGCAGGAATCACTGGAGTCCCCATTTAGCAGATTAGGAAACTGAGCAAGCTTGTGAGCAGAGCCAAGACCCATCCTGCCCCTCAGGAGCCTGCAGTTTAGTGTGTGTGTGTTGGTGGGGAGGAGACAGCTGCCCAAAAAGCTCTGCTGTGCATCGCACCGCACTCAAGAAAAGTCAGATGCAGACAATGGAATTCATTTCCACCACTCCGATCCCAATCCTTACAGAAGCCCTGGCTCCAAAGCCTACACGCAGCTCACAAAACTGTATACCGTGACTTCCAGAATGCCTTGGACTGATCTGTGTCATTTCAAGAGAATCCCAGTTATGCAAGGACACTTGGGGTGTGACCTCAGTGTCATGTGGTGGTAAGCATCATATACAAAGAGCAGGGTGTTTGAGGAGTGCTCTGAGTGGAAGAAGCTCCAGTGACACGTATCACAACCCGAGAGCATCCCCAGGGGTGGTCGAGGGCGGAGTGCTGCTCCATTCGGTTCACAGGCTGAGTTCAGTCATGGGGTTTCCTAGCATCCTCTAGCCAAAGTCCATTCACCAACTGTGTTCCATTTCTGCTGTAAAAGCGCGGACCCCGGGCCTACAAGGACAGGTGGCAGAGTTCTCATGGGCCTCTTATTCTTTAAGCCGAGATGAAGTGCTCCCTGCAAGGCAAGGCTGTTGGCTACGGCCTCACCTGAGAGCAGCTCCAGGCCCCGCAGAGCAAGCTGGAACCTGCCTTAGACTAAGGGCCCATGAGGGGTAGTCATTGCCTGGCCCTGGGCCTTTGAATCTTGCCGATGGTGGTGTTTGTATTCTTAAAACCTGGCTGAGCAGGCAGGCATCTCACTGGGGGTGGGCCTCGTTTGATGAGTTAGTCACCAGCTAGCTGTGTCTGCTGATGACTTCCTGGAGACCGCCGGGGAGATGGCCAAGGGCTGGTCTCTTCAGTCCTCAAAGTCACCAATGGCTATGTGCATTAATGGGCCAAGGACTGGGGAGAGGCAGTAAAGGTTAATAATAGTAAAGGTTAATAATAATATCATTGACAAGAACTTCCTATGGGCCGTGCATTGTGCACGGCATATTTGTAAGACTCGTGGGTAAGAATTATTATCCCCATTTTACAGAAAAGCAAACCAAGTATCAGAGAAGTTAAGTAATCCACCTTGGTCACGTAATTTGATGTCTGATGCCTGGGCTCATATACGATTCCAAATTCTATACTCAGCCTTGATTGGTCCCCAATTCTTCCTCCTAAGAAAACAGGAGAGAAGACAGCCTCTGAGGAAAAGGGGACAGGAGGATCAGGGGAAGAAAGGGTTTCAGGTGTTAGGGAGTGAGGTTGGATGGCCTTGATGACTTGCCCCAAGCCTCCCTGAGGAGCCGAGCCTGTTGGGCAGGAGTGTCAGCTTGAAGCCAGCTACAGAACTCCGAGGGCAGATGGCGGGGGTGTGGCACCGAAGCAACTTCAAAAGCAGTTCTATGTGTTCTGCCTGGAGATCAGCAGGACTGTCTGAGTTGCAAGTGATGGAAAACCCAATCAAACCAGCTTGACAGAAAAATAAATGTTGGCTCACATAACTTGAAAGTGCAGAGTCAGTGGCTTCAGGCAAGGCTGTATCCAGGTGCTCCAGCAACACTGCTCTCTTTGTTGTCTCCTTTTTCAGGCAGGCACTCTCCAAGAGAGACTGTGATCAGCAGCTCCAGGCTCCTGTCCAGTGCTCTCAGCAAGTCCAGTGGGAAGAAGCTCCCCCTTCACAAGAGTTTCAACAGAAACTTTAGGACCGAGTGGCATTGCCTCTGATCAACCTAGCCTGCGTCCATCGATTGCAAGCTCACAATGGGCCAGTCACGTTCCAAGTACCTTTCTTGTACTAGACCGCCTCATTCTCCTGGGACTCAGTGAGGTAAATGGTGTTCTTATTCCCATTGTACAGAAGGGGAGAAGGAGGCTTAGAGAGAATAAGGAAGGCCCTTGCCCTTGATCACCCAGCGAGAGCTGCAGAGCTGGGATCTGTAGGCTCCGGAGGAGACCACATACCGCGGCTGCAATGCTCTGCCCACTGGCTGCATCTCCCAGCGCCTCCCAGCCTCTCAGTGCTCGTGTTCCTCATGGCTGAAGGAGTTTTTGTACCACAGGGGCCCTGATCCCAGGGCCACTAGTGAGTTGGGGCTCTGTGGATGATGCAGTGTCTTGACTGTCACTAGGGGACAGTCTGGCTGTCCTGGACTCTGGAGATGCAGTGGATGGGGTCTTCAACATTATAAGTTCCAGAGAGATTTTTTTAAACTAGGTTTTTTGTTTGTTTAGTTTTTTTAAAAATTGAGGTGAAATTCATATAATATAATTAACTTTTAAAGTGAACAATTCAGTGGCCTTTAATACAGTCACAGCATTGTGCCTCCATCACCACTGTTAAGTTCCCAAATCTTTCATCACTATAAACAGAAACCACACAGCGAGGGGGAGGGTCTAGCTCAGTGGTAGAGTGCCCGCTTAGCATGCACAGGCCCTGGGTTCAATCCCCAGTACTTCCATTGGGAAAGAAAGAAAGAAACCCAATTACCTCCCCCTCCAAAAAAAAGAAGCCCTGTACCGTTAGGCAGTCACTCCCCGTTTATCCTCCCCCTCTGCCTCTGGCAACTAGAAATCTACTTTCGGTCTATAGATTTGCCAGCTCTGAATATTTCATGTAAGTGGATTCATATAATATGTGGCCTTTTGTGTCTGGCTTCTCTCATTCAGCATACCGTTTCCAAGGTTCATCCGTATTGTAACCTGTATCAGTGCTTCATTCCTACTTACAGCTGTGTAATATTCCACTGAGAGGCTCTTCCACGATTTGCTTGTCTGTTCGTCGGTTGATGGACATTTGGGTTATTTCCACCTTTCGGCTGCTGGAAATAGTGCTGCTCTGAACCTTTGTGTTCAGTATTTGTTTGGATCCAGAATTGAACTTGCTTTCCACTCTTTCCTATACACACCTAGGAATGGAATTGCTCGGTCACATGGTAGCTCTATGTTTAACTTTTTGAGGAATCGCCAAACTGTTCTGAATGATTTTCGTTTTAGTTGAGTTACAACTTTTACATCGTACACACATTGTTAGTGTACAGCTCGATAACTCTTTCTGTATACATGGACCATTTCCTTCACCCTGGAGTGCTTCCCAGACCTCTTCCTGGTGGGTAGCTCTCCCGTCCCCCAGCGTTCCCACCATAGGTTAGCTTTGGGACTTTCTGTAAATGGAATCTCACAGCATGCTCTCTTCTGTGCCTGGCTTCTGTTTCCCAGCATAATGTCTGTGGGATTCATCCATGTTGTGTCTTAGTTTATTTTTTTTATTACTGCATAGCATTCTACTGTATGAACATGCTGTAAGTTACTTATCCTTTCCAATTTTGATGGACATTTGGGTTGTTTCCAGTTCTTGGCTCTTAGGAACAAAGCTGCTCTAAGCCAGCCTAGGCCTGTCTTTTGTGGGAATATACCCACATTCTCCTGCACGTGCCACGAGGAGAGTGGCTGGACCATGGGGGAGGCGTGTGCTCAGCTTTAGGACAGGCAAAAGGATGAACCTGGCTGAAGATTTCTAGTCTTGGGACATGAGAGGTACAAGGTCCTTCAAAGGACTTTTAAAAACAGAAAATGTTTT